CTTCACCTCAACCCTCCACCCCCCTCCACACCTCCCACCTCCCTTCCCTCAACCCTCCCACCCCCCTCCATCACCTCCCACCTCCCTTCACCTCAACCCTCACCCCCTCCATCACCTCCCTTCACCTCAACCCTCACCCCCACCTCCTCAAAGCAATGGAAAATATATAATTCCCTCACCCAACCTTGTGTCAAGACGGCAGCCAGATTGACAACAAAGATATATAAATTCCTGTACCTGGTTATGGCCTCATTTACGAGGATTAAAATTCACTTACGTCTTCGAGAATCTGGACCCCAGGCTGAGTCTGTCTGCTCGGAGGAAGATTGACATACGTTCATAAATGTATGAATCAAGTCACCAGCCAGAAGACATTTGAATTTCTGGGTCGTTACCCTCTCGCTGTTGTGGTGATACCTCCTCCGCTGCTGGGGTGAGGGTGATACCTCCTCCCGCTGCTGGGGTGGGGGTGATCCTCCTCGCTGCTGGGGTGAGGGAGTGATGCACCTCCTCCGCTGCTGGGATGATGCACCTCCTCCCGCTGCTGTGGTGATGCCTCCTCCCGCTGCTGGGTGATGCCTCCTCGCTGCTGTGGTGATGCATCTCCTCCCGCTGGTGATGCCTCCTCCCGCTGTTGTGGTGATGCATCTCCTCCCGCTGCTGGGGTGATGCACCTCCTCCCGCTGCTGTGGTGATGCACCTCCTCCCGCTGCTGGGGTGATGCACCTCCTCCCGCTGCTGTGGTGATGCATCTCTCCCGCTGCTGGGGTGATACTCCTCCCGCTGCTGTATGCACCTCCTCCCGCTGCTGGGATGAGGGGTGATACACCTCCTCCCGCTGCTGGGGTGAGGATGCACCTCCTCCCGCTGCTGGGGTGAGGGTGATCACCTCCTCCGCTGCTGGGGTGAGGAGTGATGCACCTCCCGCTGCTGGGGTGAGGTGATACACCTCCTCCCGCTGGGGTGATGCATCTCTCCCGCTGCTGGGGTGATGCATCTCCCGCTGCTGGGATGATGCATCTCCTCCCGCTGCTGGGATGATGCATCTCCTCCGCTGCTGGGGTGATGCATCTCCTCCCGCTGCTGGGATGATGCATCTCCTCCCGCTGCTGGGATGAGGGGTGATACACCTCCTCCCGCTGCTGGGGTGAGGGTGATACCTCCTCCCGCTGCTGGGGTGATGTCTCCTCCGCCTGCTGGGGTGATGCATCTCCTCCCGCTGCTGGGATGATGCATCTCCTCCCGCTGCTGGGATAGTCATCTCCTCCCGCTGCTGGGGTGATGCATCTCCTCCGCTGCTGGGATAGTATCTCCTCCCGCTGCTGGGATGAGGGGTGGTTCACCTCCTCCCGCTGCTGGGGTGAGGGGTGACACCTCCTCCCGCTGCTGGGGTGAGGGAGTGATGCACCTCCTCCCGCTGCTGGGGTGAGGGAGTGGCACCTCCTCCCGCTGCTGGGGTGAGGTGATACACCTCCTCCTGCTGGGGTGATGCATCTCCTCCCGCTGCTGGGGTGATGCATCTCCTCCCCGCTGCTGGGAGTGCCTCCTCCCGCTGCTGGGATGGTGCATCTCCTCCGCTGCTGGGTGATGCATCTCCTCCCGCTGCTGGATGATGCATCTCCTCCCGCTGCTGGGATGATGCATCTCCTCGCTGCTGGGATGATGCATCTCCTCCGCTGCTGGGATGATGCATCTCCTCCCTGCTGGGGTGAGGGGAGTGATGTACCTCCTCCCGCTGCTGGGGTGAGGAGTGATGCACCACCTCCTCCCGCTGCTGGGGTGAGGGGAGTGATACACCTCCTCCCGCTGCTGGGGTGAGGGAGTGATACATCTCCGCTGCTGGGGTGAGGGGTGATACACCTCCCGCTGCTGGGGTGAGGTGATGCACCTCTCCCGCTGCTGGGGTGAAGTGATCACCTCCCGCTGCTGGGGTGAGGTGATGCACCTCCTCTCGCTGCTGGGGTGGGGGTTATGCCTCCTCCCGCTGCTGGGGTGAGGTGATGCACCTCCTCCCGCTGCTGGGTGAGGGGTGATGTCCTCCCGCTGCTGGAGTGGGGGGTGATGCACCTCCCTCCCGCTGCTGGGTGAGGAGTGATACCTCCTCCCGCTGCTGGGGTGAGGGAGTGATGCACCTCCTCCCGCTGCTGGAGTGAGGGGAGTGATACACCTCCTCCCGCTGCCGGAATTTCAGTACAACTTCACCATTTTTTGATCCCGTCATTGTTCACTTCAGAAGACTCCAGAGCGATATTTAACTCTGTTTCATCCTAACAATGTGACTTAAAAGCTTCGCCCAACAATGATAGTAAATTCCCGTCTCATTTTCCCCCGCAGTTATTGAGCGCCGTGGATGTTAAGGTAACGTTTATTATGTACTAGCAGGGGAACAGCTCGTTGTCTTAGTGTCTACACTATTATCTACTCTACAGTTACTGCACTGTAGGCCAACTCCCAAAAAAAAAAAATTAGATCTTTTGGATTGGGGGAGGGTAAATACAAAGGCCACCCCCAAAAACAATCTTATTTCAGGGCACTTCTGGAGCGCATCTTTGAGAACAATTTCAGCTCTCAATCTTCAAAAGTATAGCCGAAGAACGTGAACATCCACATGAGCAAACATACAGACACTGTAAACACGGTTGGTAGTCAGGCAGTTTAACCAATGGATCATGATGGACTCAAAAGCTACTCACTATCTTAACTACTCACTTGTAGGTCAAGTCCACCAACTGTGGGCCTTGAAGGTTCAGCTGGCCTCCCACACACGGGTCCCAGACAGCTTTTAATCAAATTCCCGGCCCAGCGGTGTTGTCAATACACCAGACTCAAGACACATGAGTATATACAGACCACTTCTGTTATATATGAATAAGTCAACTGAAGCTTAGGTGGACACTTATGATGGGCGCCACAAGTTACTGTACTGTATCTTTAAGGGGCTGGCGTCCATTAATAGACTCATCATCAATCACCATCGGAGCTTTAAGTTGTTTCCTTGCCATCAGAGAGCTCGGTGAACTAAAGGGAACTTCCAGAAAATTCCGCAACAACACAGTGATCAGAGGAGCTGGGTGGAGGGGGGACAATGCATGTGTAAGGAAGTGAGTGGTGAGGGTGTAGAGTGGTGGGTGGTGAGGGTGTAGTGGTGGGTGGTGAGGGTGTAGAGTGGTGGGTGGTGAGGGTGTGAGTGGTGGGTGGTGAGGGTGTAGTGGTGGGTGGTGAGGGTGTGGTGGTGGGTGGTGAGGGTGTAGTGGTGGGTGGTGAGGGTGTGAGTGGTGGGTGGTGGGGGTGTGAGTGGTGGGTGGTGGGGTGTGGTGGTGGGTGGTGAGGGTGTGGTGGTGGGTGGTGAGGTGTGGAGTGGTGGGTGGTGAGGGGTGTGGTGGTGGGTGGTGAGGTGTAGTGGTGGGTGGTGAGGGTGTAGAGTGGTGGGTGGTGAGGGTGTAGAGGTGGTGGGTGGTGAGGTGTAGTGGTGGGTGGTGAGGGTGTAGAGTGGTGGGTGGTGAGGGTGTAGTGGTGGGTGGTGAGGGGTGTAGTGGTGGGTTGTGAGGTGTAGTGGTGGGTGGTGGGGTGTAGAGTGGTGGGTGGTGAGGGTTAGAGTGGTGGGTGGTGAGGGTGTGGGTGGTGGTGGTGAGGGTGTGAGTGGTGGGCGGTGAGGGGTGTAGAGTGGCGGTGAGGTATGTATATATCGTTTACTTTTCACCAGGACGGTCGAGGGACTTGGGATGGGTTAGTGACTAATTGTGTTAAGCCATTAACAAGGCTTTTGTAATAATCGTCTGTATTTGTCCAAAGTGTGAGGTAGTCGGGCTGGCACCACCGGCGATGATACTGTAGGGAGAGGGGTGTGAGGGAGGCAGCAGCAGGGTGTGGGGCCAGCGTGTGAATGGAGGCAGCATCAGGGGTGGGGGCACTCGTGGGGAGGCAGCATCAGGGTGTGGGGCACTCGTGGGGAGGCAGCATCAGTGTGGGGCACGCGTGGGGGAGGCAGCATCAGGGTGTGGGGCACTCGTGGGGAGGCAGCATCAGGGTGTGGGGCACTCGTGAGGAGGCAGCAGCAGGGGTGTGGGGCCAGCGTGTGAATGAGGCAGCATCAGGGGTGGGGGCACTCGTGGGGAGGCAGCATCAGGGTGTGGGGCACTCGTGAGGAGGCAGCATCAGGGTGTGGGGCACGCGTGAGGGAGAGCAGCATCAGGGTGTGGGGCACGCGTGAGGGAGGCAGCATCAGGGGTGTGGGCACTCGTGAGGCATCAGGGTGGGGGCACTCGTGAGGAGGCAGCATCAGGTGTGGGGCACGCGTGGGGGCCATCAGGGTGTGGGGCACTCGTGAGGCAGCTCAGGGGTGTGGAAGACTGGCGTGTGGGGCACGTGTGAGGAGCAGCATCAGGGTGTGGGGCACGCGTGAGCAGCATCAGGGTGTGGGGCACTCGTGGGGGCAGCATCAGGGTGTGGGGCACTCGTGGGGGGCAGCATCAGGGTGTGGGCACGCGTGAGGAGGCAGCATCAGGGTGTGGGGCACTCGTGAGGGAGGCAGCATCAGGGTGTGGGGCCAGCGTGTGGGGCACGCGTAGAGGCACATCAGGGTGTGGGGCACGTGAGGGAGGCAGCATCAGGGTGTGGGCACTCGTGAGGAGGCAGCATCAGGGGTGTGGGGCACTCGTGAGGGCAGCATCAGGGTGTGGGGCATCGTGAGGGAGGCAGCATCAGGGTGTGGGGCACGCGTGAGGGGGCAGCATCAGGGTGTGGGGCCAGCGTGAGGCAGCATCAGGGTGTGGGGCACGCGTGAGAGCAGCATCAGGGTGTGGGCACGCGTGGGGAGGCAGCATCAGGGTGTGGGGCACTCGTGAGGCAGCATCAGGGTGTGGGGCACGCGTGAGGGAGGCAGCATCAGGGTGTGGGGCACGCGTGAGGGAGGCAGCAGCACCAGTGCTGGGCCAGACGGCAGACACGACACACACACAGTCTACGGTCTCCGCCACCCACGTTTCACTCGCTCGCTCCAAGTGTGTCAGTGAACGCTGACGTACTTTAAAAATGTTCCTGTTGTTACTAAACACGAAATCAAAATACAGATCACATATGTGAAGTGCTTTACTCGTTAAAGACGCAATAAACGGTTGTAGTTAGGGTTATGAATCTAAATTCGTAAATATATTTCTGGTGGTTTTACAAGAGAGAAAGTTGCTTTACGTAGGAAAGGGAACAGTTTCTCTAAGGTAAGTGACCTGCTATATACATGAACATGAAATCACTGTCTATAGATACATTTAACACTGTTCATCCGCCGTCAACAATAGAAGTATCAATAACACACAGGGAGCCATATGTGTTAACTGTTTTGTCTGCCGTGTAGAGACGTTTTTCCTCTACTACGTAACCTAACCACCCGACCAGACCACTTCATGCTGTCATATACAACAGTAATAAAAGCAACAAACACAAACCTGATTTAATACCAATAATAATAATGAAGGATACACTACTGGTAATATACCACACCACACCACACTACACCACACCACACCACACCACACCACACTACACCACACCACACTACACTACATTATTTCCATATTAACAGATCCCACTCACCCACACTCCCACTCACCCACCTCCCCACTCACACTACACCTACACCTCCCTCTCACCCGTCTCCGCTTCTCTTCCTCTCCTGTCTATATCCTTTTCCTCTCTCTCTCTCTCTCTCTCTCACTTAGTCCCTTCTCAACCCCTTCACCACACACACCGGGCGTCAAGGTAATAACAAAACAGTTCAACAAATAGAATTATTAACACATAGCCCAGGTATCATTAGGGGCATTAACCACGTGATCTCTGGTAGGATCTGTGAGAGAGAGAGAGAGAGATTTACCATTACTCTACCTGCCCGAATGTACCACTATATATAATAACAACGTAACACACACACACACACACACACACACACACACACACACACACACAGTGGCCAGAGTATCAAAGTATATATGACTGTATATTTTCGAATCATTATCTGCACCCTGTTTTAAAGTTCTTATTTTCGACTCAAATTCCTCCCCACCCCTTCCCTCCCAACTCTTAATCCTCCCGCCATTCGTTCCAGACTCAGAAGATCAATTTTTCACTACTCTCGGTTCTAGAAGTGAAATACGGCTGGAACTTTGTCTCTGCTTTGTCTTTTACGATTGAAAAAAAAAATGTTTCAATTGTTTTTTCCTGTCGTTCGTTTCAAAGTTCCGAGAAATGTGAATCCTCTTTCTCTTGTATTTAACGGAGAAGGTTTTAGGTTAGGTTAGGTTAGATGATAGTTGTGAATTCCTTTTTTATGTTAATGTTTAGGATTCCTCACTGTTGGCTTCTATGGATCACCTGAAGATTAGCCCCCCTCCCCCTCTGGCAATTTATTTCACTTTATGATTAATCCCGCTAACCTAACTTAACCCCAAAATCTAATGGAATCTAACCAAACTTAACCTAATCTAACCTGAGCTAACTTGACCTAACTTAAACCTGACCCTAACTTAATAGAACCTAACTTGACCTAATCTAATCTAACCTGACCTAACTTAAACCTGACCTAACTTAATATAACCTAACTTGACCTAATCTAATCTAACCTAGCTTAACCTCACCTTTGATACAGTTAGATCATCTGAAGATACCGGCCCATGTTGAAGGGTTCGGTTCGTATTAAATCCCATTCTATCGTCATACTAAAGGTTCAGATAGTGTTTACGTCGAGTCTAAAGGGTTCAAATGGTACCGAATCCTCTTCTACTATCTATAGGGTTTACATAGTATCGAACCCTTTTTCTAGCATTAAACTAAAGGTTCATAGTGTCGCTTACTAACATTGGAATACTGTAGAGTTGAACTATCTACCTACAGATCAGAGGTGTTCAAAGGTGTTCAGATGGTATTAAATGTTCATCTAGAGGATTGAACAGTATCTACCTACAGTTCAGAGGTGTTCAAAGGTGTTCAGATGGTATTAAATGTTCATCTAGAGGATTGAACAGTATCTAACTACAGCTAAGAGGTGTTCAGATATTACCAAATGTTCACCTAGAGGATTGAACAGTATCTACCTACAGTTAAAAGGTATTCAGAAAGTATCAAATGTTCATCTAGAGGATTGAACAGTATCTACCTACAGTTCAGAGGTGTTCAAAGGTGTTCAGAGTTCACAAACAGGTGACTCTCTTCCTGTACCAGCACTTTGAGTAGTATACTGTACCGCCAATAGGTTTTTGATGAGCCTCGCCCTCACCAACACGATCACCGAATAAATCTCCTCCCTAATGTGCAGTGCCATCAAGTGCCACCACAGTAACTATCCTGCCTCTACCACAGTGCCACCACAATAACTATCCTGCCTCTACCACAGTGCCACCACAATAACTATCCTGCCTCTACCACAGTGCCACCATAGTTACTATCCTGCCTCTACAGTGCCACCACAGCTATCGTGCCTCTACAGTGCAACCACAATATATCCTGCTT